GCTATTAATAAAGTAATTCAGCCTATGGGCTCCCTACAGACTGGGATGCTCTTGCCCTCTCTGTTACCCAAAGAATGGCCTACAATAGTTATTGACTTAAAAGATTGTTTCTTTACCATACCCTTACAAGAAAATGATAGAGAAAAACTTACCTTCACAATACCTAATTATAATAATTCCCAGCCAGTCAAGAGATATCAATGGAAGGTCCTCTCACAGGGAATGCTAAACAGCCCTACCCTGTGCCAATACTTTGTGCAAAAACCATTGGAGATAATTAGTGTGAAGTTTCCACAATCCATAATTTATCACTATATGGATGGTATCCTATTAGCTGATCCAAAGTTAGGCACATTACAAAGCATGTTTGAAGAAGTAAAAAAAAGTTTTGCCTCACTGGGGACTGCAAATTGCTCCTGAAAAAAATACAAAGAGGAGATTCTATTAATTACTTGGGATATAAGATAGAGCTATAAAAAATTAGACCCCAAATGGTACAACTAAGGAGAGGTCAATTGTAGACTCTTAATGATTTTCAAAAATTGTTAGGGAGCATTTCCAACTTACTGGATATCATGTTAATACCCAAAGATGGACTACAAAATTTGGCTGATACTCTAAAAGGGGACAAATAATTAAATAGTCCAAGAGAATTATCAGCAGAAGCTGAGAAGGAATTGGCTCTAGCAGAAAAGACAATTTGAGAAGCACATGTGGATCATGTGAATCTAGACCTTAAATGCATTCTGGTCATACCTCCCTTCCAGACATTCCCCCACAGGTATTTTGATGCACAGGGAAGATATTATATTGGAATAGATATTTCTACCACATAAAACAAGTAAGAAGTTAAAAGACTTTTACAGAAAAGATCTCTGATTTGATTCAAAAAGGAAAATTAAGACTTTGCCAGTTGACAGGAATGGACCCAGCAGAAATTGTAGTTCCTTTAACTAATGAGAAAATTTCCTCACTATGGAAAGATATTGAATACTGGCAGAGAGCCTGCAGTAACTTTTTGGGAGAGATTAACAACCGTTATCCCAAAAGCATGAGACGAGAATTCATAAAGATGACTGAATGGGTCCTTCCTCACGTTGTACAATAAAAGCTAATTTCTGGAGTCCTCACATTCTATACTGATGCAAATAAATCAGGAAAGCAGGATACAAATCAGGAGACTTAAGTAAATTGGTTCAAAGTCCATACAATTCTGTACAAAAGGCAAAACTGTATGCCATTTTTATGGTACTGATAGACTTCCCAGGACCCCTCAATATAGTCACTGACTCTCAATATGCAGACACAGTTGTTTTACATATTGAAACTGCTGAATTTATTCCTGATAATACAGAACTAGCTTCATTATTCATACAATTGCAGGAAATCATCAGAAATAGGGAACAGCCTATATATATATATATATATATATATATATCATCAGATCTCATATGGGTTTGCCAGGACCTCTAGCACAAGGTAATGATGAGATTAATCAGTTACTAATAGGTAACATGCTAGAAGCCTCAGAATTTCATAAGAAACACCATGTAAATAGCAAAGGTTTGAAGAAGGATTTCTCCATTGCTTGGCAACAAGCCAAGGATATTGTATATAAAAAAAAAAGTCCTACTTGTTCCTTCTGTAACCAAACTCCATTACCTGCAGGGAGCAATCCAAAAGGTATGCAAAGAAATGAAATTTGGCAGATGGATGTATTTCATTTCACAAAATTTGGAAGATTAAAGTATGTACATCATACCATTGATACCTATTCAGGATTTCATTAGGCAACTCCTATGAGTTCTGAAAAGGTTGATTCTGAGATTACACACCCATTAGAAGTTATGGCCATCATGGGAATACCTGTGCAAATTAAGACAGACAATGCCCCAGCATATGTCTCCAATAAAATGAGGCAGTTTTTTTGCTTATTACAATATAAAGCATGCTACAGGTATACCACACAATCCTACAGCCAAGTATTCATAGAAAGATCCAATCAAACTTTAAAAGATATGCTAAATAAACAGCAATAGGTAGCAATGACTCCTATAAATAGATTGCATAATGCTTTATTAACCTTGAATTTTCACAATGAAGATGAGAAAGGAACAACAGCTGCGGAGAGACATTGGATGACAGACAAAACTTTTGAGCTAAATCAACTGGTTTATTTCAAAGATGTGTTGACCTCAAAATGGAAATCCGAATATGTCCTACACTGGGAAAGGGGTTTTGCTTTTGTTTCTGCAGAAGAAGAAAAGCTGTGGATACCAACAAAATCAATAAAAATTCGATTTTAACAGGAGAAACCCCTTGATGAGGAGAAGTAAAAGCTCATCCACCAATGTGACATCTCTACAAGTCATAAGAGAAATTTAACAAGCAAACTTTGGGGGTAGGGTCTGTTTTTGTCTTTACAGGATAATAGAAATACCCATCTTCCAGAAATAATAAGGCCTTAGATATCCAGATGTCTACAGTAGAAAGAAAGAATCTATTGGTACCAGTCTACACAGGGTAACATTTCACTGCCTACCATCTATATCTCTTTAATTCTAGAAAAGTTGTGGTTCTAATTCAATTATATACCAAGCTGGCTTGGGAGTTGGAATTGGCTCACTCCTTCTCTAAACTCAAGCATATTGCTAAAACAAAAAGGTTGAGAGATTCTGTCTCATATCAGAAGAGCTGTCTGGTGTGGGTCAGAAGAGAACCAATAAAAAGGGAACATTGTCTTTAAGATTCTAAGATTCTAATTCTAATTCTAATTCTCTCCATGCTTATTCTTGATTTCTCAGAATCCTTTCTTACATGTCCTGTCATCTTTAAATCCAAACTTTCCATTTTGATATTAATAATGTTCAAATTTTTTCACAGTAAAAAATAAGTTTTTCCAATATCAATCTCTGAAGTCTCCAGAAGGAAGATGGGGCCCCACAACAACTCTGCCCAGTCCAGAATGATGCCATGGTATTTACAAACATTACTCAATGATCAACCTTGGACTGAAAATTCTCTAAAATAATTCCATTGTAAGATGGTTCATCATACTTCACATCTAGCCAGAATCTCAGACAACCCTACCCATTACCCTGAGACTGGCTGTAGAATCTACAGTTAGTCCAACTGAGACTTAACTATCTGAGCTTTCTTAGAGAATCCCACAGAGATACCATTGCCTCTTGAACGGCAGGAAGCAATTCTGAGAAAATGACACCCCTTTTCCCCAAATATTTCATGTTTCTGAGTGTTATGGATAATGGTTATAGGGTTGGGGGGGAGAAAACATTGGACTCGGTATTCCCCTTAAGAAAAGAAAAAAAGGGGAAAGGATAGGTATAGGATATTAAGGTAGATTATTGTCTATACTAGTAAACTAATTTAGTAAAATAGCAGGCTTAGATACAATGCACTGTTATGAATTCTTGTATGTTGATACAAATGTAAACTATTTTTACATTCTTATTCCAGATAATTTGTATATTGATAGAAATTCAGAACCATATTTGTTGTAATGTACATATATTTCTACTCTTATTTGAAATGCTTTGTCTATTGATATAAATGTAAAATTATATTTGTCATACTCTATGTATGTTCTGAATCTGTTTAGGATATTTGATATATTGATACATATTTAGGATTATTGTCATATTGCATTTTGTACTAATACATTCCTACCTTTGCTTTAGCTGTTTTGTGTATTGTAACAATTTTGAGGTCATTATTCTTTTACTGTCCAGTTGCTTACAGACTGTTTACTCTGTTTACATAAAGCCTTAGTCCTTAGGTTATCTAGGCAGATAAGACTTACAAATTTATAGTTACGTATGCTTTCTATCTCTATGTTGGTTAGGTTCTCCAGACTTACAGAAACATATGTCAGATGGATAGGTGATTTTTCAAACAATTCATAGACCTGGAAAATATGGCATTTAAATGTTTTGATAACTTGAAACATTCTGTTGACATGAGACATGATTGCTCCTGGCAGCACTGATCTGATCCCGGGAGAATGTTGGGCTTCTGAGAAATTTCCGTATGGAAGCTTGTCTTCACCTTGGCACAAAATGGCCTACTGGACAAAGAACTGCCCTTGCCTCAACTGCTGACAGTAAAATGGTCTGACAGATACTCTAGGCCTGTAGCCAATTTGAATGTACCAGCAATGCTGAGAAACTTTAGGTGACTGTCCAGGCTGCCAGCTGTCTCTATCTACTCTCACAGGACTCCCGAAAGTTGTTTGCATCCTTCTCCAGTTTCTCAGGTATTTTTACATTCCTTCTCAGGTCTTTGATGGGATTAAAGACTAACAGTTATAGTTACAATCTTCTTGTATCTTATCTATAACATATTAAGTATTAGATTTAGGTTCTTTAGGATAGGGCACCTTTTGGAATGATCTTTGTAATGTGCCATTTACCCATGTTCCAGACTTCTCTGGATTTTAGTGTGTGTCTCTTGTTTGGTGTTGTTCATGTTGGTTGTAGTTCCATCTTGTCTAGGTCATTATCCCTTATTACTCCTGGACAATATTTGATAATCATTCCTATTGTATATAGTTTTGTATTAGGTTAGAACTTTCTTATTTAGACAAAAGGGAGAGATGTAGTGGGTAGCTGTTCCAGCTTTGACCTGGAAGTACTACTCCCAGTGAGGCTTCTGGTAACTGTAATGCCTACCTATGACCTGCCCCTGAGGCAGGGCAGAGACAGGAGCCATTAAGACCTGAGATCTGGATGTGCCAGCTCTCTTGGTTCCTGGTGATCCTGGATGCTGGATGGTAGACTGAGTGGAGTTTTCCAGAGAACCCAGCTGAACTGTACTTCACCTCTCCCGGATCCTGTAACCAACCTCTTTACTAGCTGTAAGTTACCTCCCCCCAAATAAAACTCCTTTTTAACTACGTGGAGTTGCCTTAATAAATCCCCCAAAAGGGCGTGGCCACCAACGTTCACTTACGTATTTGATCTTTGCATTTTAATGGCTCTTTGCCACTGATATGCTGCACCCACTTACATGAACCCTAACATGTCTGTGAGCATAGAAGGAGTTTTCCCATTGAATCTTGCTTATGTGGATTCTGTGGAAGAGGAAGCAGACAGCAGAGGGAACTGGGGAAAAAGGGAGGGAAGGGGGAGGAGGGATTGGTGAAAGGGAGTGTAAGTTAAGAAGGGAGAAATGAGGTGGGAGCTTTGGTACCACAGGGTAGCTCTTTGCTAAGTCTTCTCAGTCACATTATTAACAGTCATTGCTTGTTTCTTTGTCAAGGTCTGAGAAACATGCCATATCCATGATTACTAACCACAGGTCTGCATTCGGCCGGATGTGGCCTATCAGTCACAGAAGGGAGCCCAGATTGAGAACCTCTTGTCACTTTTGACAACCAGTTAGTGCATGATGGTTTCATGTGTGTTTCTGGGTTTTTGTGTTCTGTTTTACTTTGTTTTTCTAACATAGTGTCTCATTCTCACTCTGTAGCCCAAGCTGGCCTAGAACATACTATGTAGCTCTGGATGGCCTCAAACTCACAACAATCCTGCCTCAGCCTCCCCTGTGCTGAGATACAGGCGTGAGTCTCCATACCAGAAAGTGTTCCTGTTTTGTGACACCTGATTGACTAGGAATGGCTGAGTCAGTCCCCTTAGTGCCCTGGCCACAGCCTTGGGGCTGATAGCTGGATGACACTTCTCTGCACATACGTTTTCTATGGTTAAATAAAGGTGATTGCTGCTGCAGCTGACAACGTAATCCTTGGAACAATGTAATGATGGAAGCAGGGTGCTGATTACAAAAAGTTGTCCTGTCTCCTCTACATGGGCATGCATGCATATTTGTCTATCCATGTGCCCAAGCACTCATGCATACATACACAAACACTCCTCCCCCAACACTCACTCACACACCACTGAAAAATGTAATAAAAAATTTAAATGTTTTATATGCAGGTGAAACTTTGAGGCCAACAAGTTTGCTCTGCAGCCCAAGCTGGAGTCAGTTCTTGAAAGTGTTTTCTCTGTCCACCAGAGAAGTTTACATATGCCCATTAAACCGAGCTTGCCTGTTTGCTATTGGCAATTTTACTATGCTTATCAGTGGTTTCGAAGAGGTGTTTGTTCATCGATTCTCTGTTTGTCAAACGGCTATTACTAATTCTTTTGACTACTAGAAACCATGTGGCTGGACAGCTGTTTCAGTTATTTTCTGTTGCTGTCATAAAATAACATAATCAATAATACCCAGAGAAGAGAGAGCTTATTTGGGTTTTCGTTTCCAGACGGAGAGGAGTCCACGATGGTGGAGCAGAAGCTGCTGGCTCACAGCCGGAACCACAGAGAGCAGAGAAAGCAAGCTGAGTGTGATACAAAGAGTCTTTAAACTATCAAACCCTGTGTCAGTAGCACACTTCCTCCAACGAGGCCACAACTCCCAATCCTCCTCAACAGTGTGACTCACTGGGGATGAAGTACTCAAAAGCAGAGACTTTGCGGGGGGGATATTCTCAAACTACACAGGACTTATCCCTATTGGATTTTAAGACACCTTCTCCCTTGCACTATCAATCCACCTCGATAACCCTATAGGATGGCATTCTTTCAACTTCCAGGAATAAGCACCTGTTGATCTGTGCTGCAGGCTGGTGCTGGACCTTCTTTATGTGTCCACCCAGGATACATTCATATCTCTCTCTCTCTCTCTCTCTCTCTCTCTCTCTCTCTCTCTCTCTCTCTCTC